TTAGTTTTCAATATAATTGTGCTTGTAAATATTGATTTAGTCAGAAGTTAAATAATTCATGGGTCAATTTTAAATATTATAAGGATTTAATGGTCAAAGGATGAAATTCAAAAACCAATGATAAAATTATATATATATATATATATATAAGATAAACTAGCATGACAAGAGAGAGAAATTGAAAGGAAAAAAAAATCATTAAAGATATACCAAGGTGTTGGAAAATTCCAACTCCAACTCCAACTCCAACTGTCAACTCCAACTCTTCTTCAACAATGGTGGCTGCCAACCTTTGACATCTTGGATTAGTGCACATGGTTGGTATAATAGTAAATGGTTCTTGCACGTTAATGACAATCAACCTAACACAAGACTCCTTTTTCAACATACCCATTATTATTAAAAAAAAATTGACAAAATAATTTTAATTATATTTTAAAAAAGCAGCAAACAAAGTCATAATTTATTAGAGATCGCTTTATTATTAAGGTAGTTTATGGTTAATTCAGGGTTAGAATCTTTTATATTCTTTTAAAATGTAATTTAAATCGTTTTATCAAGATTTTTTTAACGATATCGAGTATGTCAAAAATAAAGCTTTGATATATTCATAGCGATATGTTCTTTCTTTCTTTTTTCCTTTCTTCACATCAATTTATTTATTTTTTATTTTTTACTATTGAATCTAGAATATCATTTCTTGGCCAATAGATTTTTATAAAAATCTTAATTGAATTTTATAAATGTGATTTACAAGGAAATGCATTTTGACTTTTGACTTAGCAACCAATTTCTTGCGTACACAACTAATATTTAAAAACATGATTATATTCAAAATTGTGCTATTTTTTTTTAATTTTCTAAACCAATATCATTTTTCTAAAACTTTACACAACGCGTATCAATTTTCATTAAAAGGCTACTTCCTCCGTGACTAATATACACTTGGGAAATATTTCTAGAAAGTCCACTAGACCTAGCATAGAAAAAGGCAAAACAAGTTTCCTCAAGCCCATGATTTGGGGTTTTGAATGAACAATATCTTGAATTCAAAGCCGAAGCCTTCATAATTGGGCAGGCCTTGAATGTCGAAAGATTCAACTTAGACCACCGC